GCGGACTGCGGACTGCGGACTGCGGACTGCGGACTGCAGACCGGGGGTAAAATGAAGACTGCAGACTGTAGTCTTTTTAACTAAATCGTGTTACCATTTCCATCATTGAGAGCTAACCGTGAACAGGCTAACCGGAGCGTTATTTAGGGTAACCTGAGTGACATTCAGGCTAACCGGAGTGATATTCAATCTAACCAGAGTGACATTCAGGCTAACAGGAGTGATGTTCAATCTAACCAGAGGTGATATTCAGGCTAACTGGAGTGCAGACTTTCACTACGATTAGCCCGACGATTAACCTGTATAACCTTGTTTACCATTAGCACTCGGTAAATGGGAATAACACGATAAATACTTAAAAAGTCTGCAATGTGCATTTTACCCACAGTCTGCATTTTACCCCTGCTATGCAATCTACAGTCTTCGTTTTACACTGACCGGCTATCAGGCCTTTTATCAGCCGAAAGTGCTGTCGATAGCAGTGAAATGGTTATGTCTCCGTTCAGGAGATCCTTTAGGTCCATAAATGTGCTGTAGTTGCAGCTCTTACCTTCGGACACGATCTGTTATTTCAAGATCTTCTTTAATTTCACCTTTCTCCACGTCTTGCACCATTAACTCCCAGTTTTTCTCCAGGAAAACAAAAACTCCGTGAATCCAGTATGCAAAATTGCCAAGAATCGAGCCCAAGTCTCTATCTCTTAGGGCAAACAAAATGTGAATATAAAGTCCCGCGGGCTCAGACTTGACATCAAGGTGAACACGGGGCGTGGAGAGGGCGTGGAGGTGCAGAGATGGGGCCAAAGTTGAAGGCCCTATTGGAAGGCCTCCTACTGAGTACCTTAGTTGAGGAGCATGAAACAGTTTAAGAGATTTCTGTAAGTTGTCAGCCTAGAGAAGATAACAGAAAGATATTTGAGCCAATTTAAAATCTTATTCTAAGAAGGAACTAAGTTCTTGGATTTCTTGGTGTCAAAGAAACGACGTGTAACATAACAGAAAAAAGGTTTCCTTCACTAGTCCGTTTGTTTTCAGCAGTTTGCAAAACCATAAAACGCCCGCAAAGACCGAACTCCTCTTCGTTACTAATAAACATTTACGAAAGAAATAAAAACAGGATTGCAACCTAGCACTTTCGTTGGAGTATGTAAATAATTTTCCTCTAGAAGAAAATTCTCGACGTTTTTCACACCTTCACAGATAGTCAAAGCGGCTGGTAAAACCGTTACTATCCGTGTTCACTAACAAATGGGTTTGGTTTCGCGAAACGTTGCGTTGTTTATACATCTACATAGAAAAGCTTTGGACATGTGACTGTACTGAACAATAACTTGAGACCTTATGTGATAAGGCCTATGAAACAAACGAAGACGAGATTTTACAAATAACTTTTCCACAGGGCGTGCTGACCATCTCTAGTCTATAGTGGCGTTAGTACTTGTGTGTCCGCTCACCTGTGGTAAAACGTTATACATCGTATAATAAACACCAACTGCAAATCCATATTCTACGAATGTTTTGGAGTTGTCACGTGTCTTAGGAATAAGACAACTCTTCCCGGTTGTTCCAGAGGTAACTGCTAACATCCACGGCTCCTGGCTGGTCAAAACATTCTTCTCTCCTTTGGCAATCCGTTCTTTGAAAAAAAATTACCATCACAGTTACAGTTTATAGTCAAATCGGAAGTGGTCGTAACAACAAAGAGGGAACATCAGCTGTGTGTAAATCAAGCAGCAATGACTAGTAGTCACCGCGCGTGTACAACAAGTCATGCCGCGGGG